ATATTTTAACCTGAAAGCGTGAAAAAGACCGTTTTTGGCAACATTCAATCATCTATATAAAATCTCCAAAAAATTTTTTTAAGCGTTGGTTCAAATTTATAAAGAAAGTACTACTATTCACCTTTCAAATTTTTCTTGGCCCGTTCCGATTCGATTTCTTTTCACTGAGATACAGCCATTTGAGTTTTACGTTACACGACCTAAAAACTTTTTAAAAAAGGAAAAATAAAATTGCAAAGAACTTCAACTAAAACTCGTTACTAAGAGGGTTTTTGGGGTCGCTGATTGCAATTTTAATGTCAGATTTTCGAAATTAAAAATTTCGAATTCAATATGGCGGATATTTTTTTAAATTCAACTGATTCGCTTGAAAATCGCGTAACTTGGGAGTATTTTACATCTTTGATGACGATTCTGATAGCAGCCGTATTGAATCCGCCATTTTTTCGAAAATCTGGCATCGTTATCGTAATCAGCTACCTCGAAATCCCCCGAGTAACAAGTTTCAATTTTTAAGTACTTAGTTTTCCTTTTTTTAGGGTTTTCAGGTCGTGTAACGCAAAATTTAAATGGTTGTATCTGAGTGAAAAAAAAATCGGATTTGAATGGGCCAGGAAAATTTTAAAAGGCAAATAGTAGTACTTTCTTTAGAAATTTGAACCAACGCTTAAAAAAATTTTTTGGAGATTTTATATAGATGATTGAATGTTGCCAAAAACGGCCTTTTTCACGCTTTTAGATTAGAATATCTCGAAATTCGGACGTGATAGAGCAGGTTCGCTGTCATTTTTGGATTCAGCGTGAAAAATTACATGGGAAATGACTATTCCGATTTCTGGGTCTAAAATTTGTAGGTCTGTGTTATCAGCTAAATAAAAGAGATATTGTAAAGATTCTGTACATATCGTGGATATACTTATACCCTAACTGATTAATGTTGTTTATGAGAGAGAAAAACTCTGCCATCTGGCGGATAGTTGGAAAGTTAAGGTAGCGTGAAATTCAAATTGCATTAAAGAAAAACTGTAAGTATAAACATTTACTTGAAAATGTATTTACTTAAGAATACATTGATTTTATATATAACCCTTGATCCGAAGGGAAATAATAATGTTATTATATAGAATAAAATATAATATATAAATATAACAAAAATTTTTATTATATTTCAGTTTTAATAATTAATTTTTTTAATTTTGGCTGACGTCTGATTTTTTGTATTTTTGAATATTGGGCCAATATTGAAATTCGAGCCTTGGCATTGGTCTCTACACTCCCAGACTTAGTCCAATATTGATAAAAATAACTGGTCTAAGATTGGCAAAAGTGCTCCCAATATTGGACCAATATTCAGCCAATTGTGCTTTTCCCACTGGATAAAAAGAAATTTTCATCCAAATTGTTTATAGCAAAGTTTTAGATAATATTCTATTGTATTTTCACCCTTTTTGTTTAATAAATTACTATTTTTGATAATCAAAAAGTAAAATTGATGAATCAAATCAAATACTATATCTCAACTGTTATATATATATATATATATATATATCATCAGCATTATGGAAATGATCTTGGTGTTTGCAATCATCAGCCCATTGTCCAAAGTGAATGACATCACATACAATATGATTGCCAACATTGTTGTTCAATGATGTTATCCAATATATATATACTGTATAGAGGCTTGGTACTCGTGAAGGTATGCCACAGTTTTGGCGCGTCCAGCGTACTTTTGGTTTTGGAAGTAAGTCGATCTATATACATATATAGCAAGAAGGGAAGAGAGAGGAAACAGGGAAAGGTACTTCCGGATAATTCGCGTTCGAAGCTATTATAAACGGTAAATCAGAAGTTAGCCGCGTGACTGTGGGTTATAATGTTAGGGATATCCTAAGTGCGAATTCCATCTGGTATTAATCCCTGAGAGTAGTTATATAGGTTCCTCTCTTTGGCGTTAAATCGGAACTATTTAGTACAGAGAAGGGTGGAGGGTAGGGCTATCACCCACCATTAAAATAGGGATGAGGAGGGCCGGAGGAAAGAGATGATGGTAATAGATAGAGAGAGAGAGGGAGTGAGGTATGCACACAACTATTTCGCCGTATCATGCCTATCCGAGGATATACTATCGTTTGGCCACTCCACTGCTATAATTTATTGAGGCACGCTGAGTATCCGCTAGGTTTATAGTTTAATAACCAAGTCCAATAAGGCGCCCGCACAATATATATACACTATAACGTGCTCTCACTTTAGAATCAGTTTTTTCAAAAAAAAAAAGAATACCCTTTTAACGTCATTGTAATTATATCATTTTTGGATAGTTTTAAAAAATGATTGAATATATTAGAAAAAGTAGGTCCTTTACTGGCGCAATATAGGTCTTACTTAGGTTCAAAGTAGGTCTAATAGGCTCAAAATAGTTTCAATGTAGTTTCAAGATATATGTTTAAAGTATAGGTCTGATAAAAGGTCTGAACCTTCTAAAGTTCAATGTAGGTCAATTAGGTATAACATATAGGTCGAAAATAGGTTCGTCATCTCTCTTTCTTTCTCTTTCCTTTGCACAATTACACTTTAACTACCATCGCTTTCATCTTTCGTTCGTTATAACACCTACGCGAGGAGAAAGAGAGACTGATAATTATCACCTCTCTAAAGAGTGCGCGAGTGCTTTCCAAATTGAAATCGTACATTTATGAGATGTGTATGTGACAATTAGAGTATTGCATTTACTTCCATTTTTTTTCTTTAGTCGTTGATGATGATGAATTGCTCCCGCATAAATTCACACGAAAATATATAAAATTATTTTACTATACTTTTTTTTTTTATTAAAAAGATGGATTATTAAATTTTTGTTGCTTTTTGAATTTACACACATCTTTTCTGAACTCTGATGATTGATTTGGAAAAAAGTGTATGGTTAACAAAAAAAAAAAAAATTGAAATCGATCTCGCAAGAGAGACGAAGAGAGCCGATTGGTCACGTTTAATCCTAATTGCTATCGAGTACAGAATGAGATTCGTTTGGCTATATAACGGTGAGCCATGCTTCACCACCATTTTCAGACGAATCCCTAAATTCCCGTTTCCCAATCTGATGAGGACGACGACGAAGTTGCACCGGAAATGAGGTAGTAGTTCAGCTATACGGGTTGTTCCTCCGAAACGAAAGCGCAGAGAGAGAATGATGCGGTCTGTAGCTCAGCTAAAAGGCAACGTATAGGACCCCTTCAAGTCTCGACGTCGTCGTCTCAGCGTTTGTAATTGTAATGACGTCGTTAGTGTGTTGCTGCCATCAGTTCATAAAACACAGAGGAATTACTTTTCATAAAGCAGCTTCTCTCTCTTTCACTATACACTTGCTTCATTACTGTAATCATTATTGCTATTATATCCATACGGTTCCACAATTTTTAAAATCAAATTCTGTTTAATAATTTCTTTCCATATATACATTGGATTAAAGTTAGGTTCAACATAGGTCCATAAGAAAGGTTCAAAGAGGTTTTAATGTAGGTCGAAAATAGGTCCTCTTTAGATTTAATTTACTTTACACGGAAAAAAAATATTCTGGTAATTCTTTAACGTCGATTTAGAGATTTTACATGTTCTTAAATCTGTTAATTCTACAGATATTTTCTGCAAAGATTTAACGCATGCGCGAAAACAATGCAGTGATTCGACTAAGGCTGAGTACGATTGAGTGCGAGAGGTTAAGGCGAATTTAGTGTTTTTATTATTATCATACACCCAGAGAAATGTTTTATTTGAATTAAATAAAATGTATTTGACTTAAATAAAAATGGATATTTGTCTCAGAGCCTACTAAAGTTTTCTTTGTCTCAAATAAATTTTTATATTTAAATTTGAGACAAATAAATTTTTATTTGCTACAAATATATTTTATATTTAGGACAAATTGCAAAATTGCCTGGTATTCAGCCAAATATTCTGGAATTGATATAATTAAAATTTATGATTCAAATTGAAAATCTTAAATTTTTACATTTCGTGGTTATTTTTTTGTATGTTCCGTGGATATTGTTGAAACATAACAATTTCCATTTCTCTGTGTCAATGATAAGTTGATTTGAATTCTGCTTCACATTTGAGACACAACAGGGAGAAAGGCACTCAAAATAAAAGGAAAGTGTGATTTAATTAATAAACACTCGCGAATAAAAACATTTCTTTAATTATCCTAAAATTAGTATTTGTTTTAATCAAATAATAATCAATCCTTGTACAAACAACTGCTTGGTCGCGTTAATCTGTCACCTCGTTTTCACTACGTCCGACATCTTTAAAGTTATATCGTATACAGTATTCTGCGCATGCTTGCGTTGAACTCGAATAAACTTTTATTTCAATTAAATATATTATTTATTTGCCACAAATGTACCTTTTTAAAAAGTACTAATAAAATTGTTTATTTGTAAGAAACATATACGACAATTTCAAACAAACATTTATTTATTTAATTTAAATAAAATATTTATTTGAAATAAATAAAAATGATTTAAATATACGTTTTTATTCAAAACTAATAAATTTTTTCTCTGGGTGTAGTGTCGGCAAGAAAGTTTAATTAAAAAGGAAACGTCTTAAGTATACAAACATTATTATTATAGAAATAAATTATTAGAAATTTTTTATTTTAAAATTAACTGTAGTGATTAAGTGAGAAAAGTCGTTTGATAATTCTTAGTCAAAACTATTATATCGACTGCTGATAAAACAGATATATTAGACCGATTAAATTCATAATAATGATTGGTTTAAAAATCTGTTTTTTACTTTACTGCTGAAAAGAAAAGTTTTGACTATTTAAAACTGTTTTACCGTGTTCTATTAACGAATAGAGTTGACTGATTATTAAATACGCAAAAATTCCTCCGACAAAACTATATTATACCGACTGGTGGTAAAACTTTTTTGTCCCTTTTCTCTCGTGGAGCGTGACAATTATTAATTGAATTTATTTTTTGTTGCAGGTAAACGGTATGTGTCGTGACGGAGTTAAAAATTATTAGATTCGGGAGTGTTAATTCGATATTTTTATAATCGCGAATTAAATTTTCTTAGGATGTTTATTTGTTTTCGTTGTTTGTCTTTCTTGTACTAATTGAAATCGCGATCGCCATATATGTGCAGGTCTCCCTCATCAATATTGGTAAGTTCTTTTTATTTTTAAAAGGCATGATATAATTAATTTGTATATTAAATTTCTATTATTAATTTATTTACTCTCAAATTTTAAAAAGGAAAGTTAGTCATAAATTTTTTTATGTAGGAAAAAATATATTATAGGTGTATAAATAAAAAGAATTATGCATTATTTACTATTGAATTTAATTCAAAAAATTCATATTTAATCATATTTAGTTGCAATAGTAGAATCCATTAGAGAAATAGATGCAATCAGCTGTAAGAAAGAGAACATTTTAGAAATGCAGTTTTTAACATAAACAATATTATTTCTAAATATTTTTTTTTTTTAAATATCTAAATTTTGATTTGGAATATGCATATAGGTGTATATATAAATTTTTTTTTTCAAATACTTACAAAGAGCCTCCATTAATGTTCTATATTTATAACCACTTCTTGCGCATTTAAACTCATAATAACCGTCAAATGCAACGTCATTAATTGAAATTCTTTTAATGCATCCATCTAAATAAGAAAAATAGATAAAAATAACTTATTGTATACATTTTTTTTTCATTTAATTAAAAAAAAAACTTGAATTTTTTTTTTTGGTAAATAATAATAAATAAATCCAAATTAGAATAACAAATAATAGATATAGATTTCGTAATAAAAGATATTTACCTATGGCATTTCGATGACTAAAATATCTTAAAGTATTACTGTGATCGACAGCCAGAGTGTTTAGTAAATTAAGAGAAAATATTAAAAAAACAAAAAGAAAGGCATTTTTTAATAAAAACATTTTGTATTTTAATTAATTCTTTTTCTCAAAAATATATAACCTATTTTAAATAATTACTATTACCCACAATGTGTTTGACTCGTAGCACATTATTGGCTTTTAAATATAACTTGTCTGAAATATTAAAATGACAATAGTAACAATAGTTCTATTATATAATTTTTTTTTTTATTATTGTTTTAATTAAAATTCAAACTTTAATCTCCTCTTTTTGTTCTTTATCATCACTATGCAACGAAATTTATTCTCACACTTACACTTGTGAAATATTAATATTAATTTTACTCAAAATCAATATGATTATTTTTTATTTGAATGGACTGCAAATTAAAGATAATTCTATTATATTAGCATAGAATTTTTTTCCTCTAATTAGAATAATAATTTTTTATTATTTTAGACGTGAAATGAGGGGAAAAAATATTTGTATTTCAAATTTTTGCCATATTAAATAAATTGCGTATAAAAAATTAGGTATTATCTTTGTTTCAAAATTTATATTTTAAATTTTTCTTATCGTGGTGTGATTAACAGGTTTTTTTTTTAATCATAAAATGTGACTTTAAAATTTTTGTTTTTTGAAAAAGCGCATTTTCTATCGCGATAGTTTTTTGCACGCGATGCGCGCCAGGAATTGAAATCTCTTTGGCGGGAAATTGTAGAACACGTTTGACGAAAATGGGCGACTAATTGAATTTCGAATGAGATACAACCGCACACACACACACACATAGAGGACTTCCTCTGCATTTGTTTCAGTTTAAAAGCGGCTCGTAGTTTCCCCCATTGCATCTCTCAAATATCCTATCTCTCTCGGTCTACTCCTTTTCTCCTTATTATACGTAGTTTCATGTTATCAGTTCGCATTGTAATTAATTTCCATTAATTGTTTCATTTTATTATACAATGTATTGCATATAATTATGTGATATTAACAAAAAAATACACTGAAAAAAATAGTATTGAATCAAGAAAATCTATGTATACTTGATCGCATTTTATATATACCATAATATTTTCTTGATCCAAGAAAATTTACTTCAAACTAATAAAAATTTTTTGGATCAAGAAAATATTGGTATATAAAATACGGTCAAGTACATAGGTTTTCTTGATTCAATATTTTTTTTTTTCAATGTATATCCCTATATTAAAAGAAAAAAATAGAATTCATTAATATTATAATAAACAAAGTTTGATATAAAATAAATAGTTGATATACTTTTTTTTTTAACGGAACATCTCTATTTCCGGTCGCACTTATCCGACATTTTTATTTCTTTCTTTTTTGCATGACAAACTCATAAGTTTTGTGAAATAATATCGTTGCGATCTTGCTTAATTGGGGGACAGTTCGTGTAGTTATGTCAACTTATAATGAGATGTGCTTCTTGTTAATGCGACAATCCCCAATGATTATGATGAAAATGGGAAGGATGAGACGATGTGGACAATTAAACAGTTGCAAACGATCTCCATTAAAATGGGAAATTCCTTCTTTGCCCCTTCCTCTCTCTCTCTCTCTCTCTCTCTCTCTCTCTCTCTCTCTCTCTCTCTCTCTCTCTCTCTCTCTCTCTCTCTCTCTCTCTCTCTCTCTCTCTCTCTCTCTCTCTCTCTCTCTCTCGACGACTTCGAAATATAATTGTACGATTCAATTTGCATTGAAAAATTTTAAATGAGACATAGAGGGGGGGTTAGTTAGTTGGAGGGTATTTTATAGAGTTTAGTTTTTATAATAAATATGCAATTAAAATTGTATAATTTCAAACATCTATAACTATCTGCGTTCAAATAAGTTGAAAATTATATAAAAACTTTGATCCACAAAAGTATGTTCAGTACAGGTTCTATTAGGTCCAATGTAGGTTCAAATGTAAATCAAATCTATAGGTTCAAATTTGATCTATAATATAGATTCAATGTAGACTCAAATTAAGTTTAAGACTAATGTTCTGAATTGTTGGGTAATTAGTTTTCAATTATTGGGAAAGATATATAAAATTGGAAAAAAATGAAAGAAAAAAAAAAAAATCGAAAGCCGGTGTCAATTTCTCCTGGTGACGAGTTTTATCGTATATATATTTGACAAGGTTTTTTTGGGGCACGCGTTAACACAATACCCTCATCCTCTCTTTATGGCAGTCCCTCTCGTTCTCTATACACTCGATCATCACATCGACAACCCTCTTTACTCTTCAGCCAACGACATATATACACATTGGATTCGAAGCTAGCTCTCTAGGGTGTTAACCCCCTCTTCTCTTCCTCCTCTTTCTATCGTTCTCACAAAACGATCGATCCTCACCAATTATTATAGTTGCCTAACCAGTCCCGATTGGAAGAATAGGTTTGATAGAATTGTGGCTCTATATGGGAAATTAACCTCTGTCCCAGGATGGCTACCTAGAGCGGTCCAGTGTGTCACGTTTTTCAACAGTCAGGACATTTTTGTTCCGCGCGCACCCCCCCCCCCAACCTCTCTCTATCACACTATTGCTAAAATTGCCCCGCGTCCCAACAATTCTCATCAACCCCTTTCATTTTCCAAGCCACAGTGTAACAATGCTACACTCGTTGAATTCGGAAACGTCATAACTGCATCAAAACTCACGGATCAGGTCAAAAAAAAAAAAAAAAAAGTAGAAAATCTAGACTCTCCCTCTTTTTTTCGATGCAACATTTGTTTTTTAACGTATAAAATTTATTTCTTTTTTCAATATTTGGATATGTAGATTTTAATTTTTTATTATTTGTTGAATGGTCCCTTTTTCGTTTGAATTTGTGTGTATGAATACGCGGATATTTTATTTTAATAAAGAAACATTTTATTTGCCTTTTCTATTTATATAATTGCAAAAAAAATAACATTTATAAAGTTGTGTTTTTATAAAATACTTTTATATATAACAGAAGACCAAATAAAGAATTTTTTCACTTTCCAGAATATTTTTGTTAAAATTTCCCCAAGAAATTTTTTTTTGGCATTATACAAATCAAAATTGTGTAAAATTTCATAAAAAAATTGAAATACAAGAATCATTATAACTATAATAATAATTTGATAAATATATCAGCTTCAATAAAATATATATATATATATGTATATGTGCACATATATAGAAACATTTCATGTATTTAACAAGGGTTGTGGAAGGGTGGTCGATGGTTATAATTTGCGTGTGATTGGTGTGAGGGGTTTGGAGAATGATGGTAGGAGGATTCGTTATCGGTCGCCCTCGGGGGGAGAGTGAAGTCCTCATTAGGACTTGTGTGAGCAAAGCCCAAACTCCCCCCGGTCTCTCTCTCTCTCTCGATCTCTCTTACTCATTTCCTCTCTCACCTCACCCACGCTTTTATCATCTTCCATCCTTCTATAACTCTCCGTCAAGTCTCAATTTGTCAGTTCATTTTATTTACGCTTTACATTTCAATCTCAATGTCTTCACAGTCTGTCAATTGTTAACAATATTTTCCATTTTCAAGAATTTTCTTTTACAAAAAATTTTCATTTTTCGAATTAGAATTTTGATAGAATTATTTTTAAATGGAACCTACTTATTTGGTCCCACATTGAATCTACAATTGTGTATCTATTTTGTATACCTATTTCTCGAGATATTCATTTTAGATTTACTTTTAAATTTAAAACTTTAAAGTTATATTAAAAAAAAAATTTTTATTATAACAAAAACGAGTCGCAATAAATAAACGAAATTTAGAAAGAAAGAAAAAAATACTATGAGGAAACGAGTAGAGTCGCGTGGCTGAGACTTTCTAATTGGAAGTGAAAGAAACGAAAAATGATAAAAAGGGATAAAGAGAGAGAGAGAAAAAGAAGTTGCAAGGGGATGATTATACGCCCTGTGGAAACGACCCTTTTCCCTTCTCTCTTTCTCTCTCCCTTCCTTGTTCCTTTACTCAAGCCTGCGGGTAGGACTCCTTGTTACTCACATGCTAATTCTTTGAGGGCAGGTTAGTCCTCAAAATGTTAAGAGAGGCAGAGAAAAAACTTTTCTTCTCTTTTTTTTTTTCAAGAATCTCCCGGAAAAGTAGTCGTTAAAATATACGAAAAGGGATACGAAATCAGTCAAAAGAAAAATAAGGAAAAAAGAAGAATCTCAGAAATGTTATAATTGTATCGACTCGGAATATTTAATTCTAGATTTGAAAAATATTATATATTATAACCTTATAAACTTTTGAGGCAAGTCTTTTTT